GGGCATCATTTTGAGAATTAGATAGTTCCTAGGGACTTGATAGGAAATTTATAAATTTCAACTAAATGTCAATTTAGTATTTGAGTCAAATTTGTATTTGGAGAAACTTTAATAATTTTTAATAATTTTGCAAATTCAAAATAGGATGTTAGGGCTTCCTTTTTTTTTAAAAAAAAAAAAAAGATAATGTTGATGTACAATTTTACAATTTTATAAATATTGAGTATTTTTAAATTTAGTTCCTGATCAAACATGTAAATTATAGTAATATTAACATAAATTCATATTAATGATAAGTAAAGTGTACAATGACTAAAAATTTTAATATGTGAAATTTTAATATATAAATAAATATTATGTAAAATTTTAATATATAAATAAATATTAAAATAATGAATATACTTTTTATAATAATAGATAATAAAATATTTCAAGTATTTAGGTTAATTTGATGTACAATTATATTTAGTAAATTTAATTTTCAAAACACATAATTTATATGGATTATATAAGGTAGTGAGTTTTATATATTAGTAAGTTGCACTTGATAAAACAATACGCCGCACTTTATAAAATAGTGTGTTGCACTTTATTACCACACTCCACAATTAAACTTCCGTGCAAACTACCACACACCAAAAAAAAAAAAATGGTTATACATAATATTTTAACATCAATCGCATCACTTATCCACACAAACCACAAACATGTCTAACGTACCAAAATTACATTAGTTCACTTTATACATCAAAATATTGCACTTTATAAAATATCACGTTGCACTTTATAAGCCGACACTTTGCACTTTACAAACGCATTCTGCAATTAATGTCAACATCTCCCGCGCAAAAATATTACGTATTATAAATCTAAAAATCGGATCTACATAATTGCATTTTTATATCAATGAATTGAACTTTATATATAAATACATTGCACTTTATAATACGACATGTTACACCTTATAAAGCAACACGCTGCGTGTACCAAAAAATCCGGTAATTTTGATAATCGATCGAATAATATTAGTTGGTTAAATGTTGAATTTAGTATTGTTTTAAATAAATAAAATAACTAAACATGCCGAACTATATGAAAATAATATTACCATATCTTTTTTAATTATATTTTTTTAATAAGAAAACAATAATATTTCTTATATGCATTTTTTGTATGTATTGCGAGTGCACATCATGGTTATACTAATTGCCCATAAACGTTTACTATATTGCACAAAATCGAACGAGATCTAAGGAATATATCATATTTTTGTATAAAAATATTAACCATGAGTTTCTATTGAAGTATAAAAAATTAATATAATGCATTTGATGTATTATTGTGTATGTAGTAAAAATTTATTATAGTATAAGTTTGCCCAATTTTCTCAATTGAAAATATAACAACATTTCAGAAATTACAAGTAGGCCCCAATAATACATCAAGTTCTCACAAAAACAACCCCAAATCTCAAATAAACAACCCAAAATTTCAGAAATTACAGATGCTACATCCGGCCAAATCGCGAGTGTTCATCCGACCAAAATAGAAGTGGTGATCCAGCTAAGGAGGACGTGCGCCGACGGAGGGTGAAATTATGTGGCGGAGGCTGGTATTTGGGCGACGGACAATCGAAGGAGATGGTGGATGGGGCAGAGCTGGTGGTTTTTACGGGATGTGGTCCCGGCGGGTTTAATGACGACGTAGGAAGCAAGTTGTGACGGAGGCGGAGGAGCTACCATGGCAGATTGCAGACGGGGCGGAGGAGTTGGTTGGGATGGTTTGTGGTTCCGGTGGTTCATTGACGACGTCAGTGGAACTGGAAGCAGCGGTCTTCTAATATATGGGCGGTGGCGAGAGGCGAACTGGTGGCTGGCCGGGTGGTGGTTAGGCGGCAGCGCAAGCTTGCTCAGTGTATGTGTGTGTGTATTTTTTTGCAGATCGTGAAAGTGAAGAAGGAGGAAGATAAAATAAAATAAATATTTAATTAGTGAGTGGTCCCACATAAAAATGTGTATTGACCAATTTATCTTTAATTATTGGTCAAATGCACATATTTGACCACACTATGATCAATAATTACCAGATTGCCGTTAATGATTGACCTTAATTTGACTTCAATGTAACCATTGATATGTTGGATCCAATGATCCACAATCATTCTCATTTCTTTTCACTATCTACCATTCTCATATGATCCCTTCTCTCTCTCTCTCTCTCTCTCTCTCTCTCTCTCTCTCTCTCTATATATATATATATATATATGTAAAGAGAATAACAATTTACTAAAAATAGTAGCCAAAGATTTTGGTAGCATTCAATGCATACTTTTTTTGGAAACTTTTTAAATGTATGTATTAGTTCCTTCCATATACACGTTTTCAAATAAGATATGATCAAAAATATTGTTTCATTGGATACTTTATTAATATCTGTATAACATCGTTGATATCAATTATAATAAACTACAAAATTAATTTTCTGTGATTCATGTTCATAATATTTTGGTCAAGATAAATATGAAAATATATTTTAAGTTCTTACCATAATTTTTTTTTTCACCAATATTCATATCCTAAAATATTTATAGAAAATCGTAACATGTTAGGTATAATTTTTCTGCCAATTAATCAAGCGAAATCAAGTTGGTGAATAATCTTTGCCAATATAATTTTTTCTTAAATTTTATTTCATTATATATAAAAAATAAATTACTCTTTACATTATATAATTTAGCATGTGAGAGATAATGATCAGATACATTAAAAATTTTTACTAATGGTCAAATGAAAAAAAAATATATATATATATTAATTGTTATTTTGAATCTATTTGTATATTATTGTCAGCCATGTTTAATTTTTTTAATCATTAAAATATACTTACATTACAAAGTATGATAAATAAACTATAAAGTCTTATGATGCAAATTAGAAAAATCTCTTGATTATGGAAGGGATTGAATTTTTTGCATTTGCGAAATCAAAGTTGTTTAATTAGTATAAGAAACTATATTCTAAAAAAAACATGTGTGTATATTTGTAAAATATTTATAAGCTATTTAATTTTGAGTTTATTTACATGATATAAATTGGTTACAAAAATAAATAATATTAACGTGTATTAAATATTTTTCATTACATAAAATAAAAAGAATAATAAAATGTACTGCTTCTACAACTTTTATAAAACATATTAACATTATATGTCAATAAAGTTTATGAGAAAATAATAATTATGAATTATATGATGAACAAGAATAAGTAAAACTAATATTATTTCTTATATCAAGAAATAAATAAATATATATACCAAAATCAAATTTATAGCATTATAAACGTGTTAGTGAGATAAAATATTAATTAATATACATGCTAGCGCTAACATGCTCATATTTAATGTTCTTATTAAAAATGGAACGCTAATTAAAAGAAGTAAAAAATAGTTAATCCAACTTTATTGTTTTTTAGAGTTAAATGAACATTTTATGAAAATAATTCATTTAATATATAAAGAAGTAGAAAAAAGATGAACCAATTTTATTAATTTTTAGACTTAAATGGGCAGTCTATGAAAATAACTCATTTAATATATATGTCTCGCGCAGACTAGGTACTAGTTAATCCCCCTATATCTCCCTATATATTAATACAGAACGCGCTGAGCCTACTTGGCTGCTTCTGGTGCTTCGGAATCTTATGTGGTAAAATTACATGCTTCGTTATTAGGCTTGAGTAAACTTTAATTTAATTCCAAACCAAAAATGATTAGGTTCGGATTACCATAAATATGTTGATTATTTATGGTCATGTTACATGTGTTAATTGTATTTTAATATCATTCCTTATTATAACTATTGAATTGTATATATATTTTAAAAGTTAATAACTTTTGAATTTGTTTATCAGTTTTACATATGTAATATATCAAATTAATCTTCTTTTGATGAGCTTCGATTTAACATCTATATTGTATGTATAAAAAAATAATTTATATTTATCTTTATAGAATAATAAAATTATTTTTAATATTAATTAGAAAAATAAAATTATTTATCAACTAATATATTTATATTTCAAGTAGTTATATGATATAAGTTATAACAACTAATATAATATAACACATGTACGTTATAAGTAACACATATCATTCTAAAATATATAGTAATATATTTCTTTTGTAAAAAAAGTAAACTAAATTTAATATAGTTTTCTCATTAATTTTAAAATTTAAAAATAATTTTTTAACAAGCACCCTAATTCACGGGTGTTGTACTAGTACAACCAAGATTCAAGAATTCATAACATTCCCACAAAATAAATACATAGAAACAACATAAGTTTTCTTCTTTTCAAAACAACAAAACATCAACCTAAGACCATCCACTACCATGACTCCAACAATGGGATTGGCAGGGATTGTGCAGAAAAAGTAGATAGGAAAATTTAAAAAAAAAATTCTTTGCCTCATGAACGAGCTGCTCGTTCTGCCGCCCCCAAGATCATTCATCTCCAATGTGACACTTGTCAAAGTATGAATGGATGTTTATTTCTTTTTTAATTGTAAATATTAATGGATAATATTATAAATATTTTTGTATTAAAAATAAATAAAAATTATATCAAAATTCATAATTTTTTTTTTTCTCTATAAATAGAGCCTAATTTTGACATTATTTTACAAACAAACTCAACCTTTCTTAATCTTCACATATTTTCTCTTTCTAGCATATTTCAAGTTATTTGAGCTTAATGGATCCAAATTACCCCAATTATTTTTTTAACTCCCAAAATTATTCAAACCTAAATCCAAATCAAAATTCCCAACAATTTTCTAATTTTCCATATTATGGAAATTCTCAATTTTCTCCAAATTTGAACCAAATTCCAACATCTCAAAATGCTCCAATATCTCAAAATCTATCCCGTAATTTGTTTGAAGAAACTCAACGCACCAAGGTGGCAAAAAATAATTGGTGTGTCAAAGAAGATATCGCACTTATGTCATCATGGAACTTCGTTAGCGAAGATAACATACGCGGCAGAAATCAAAAGGGAGGCGCGCTATGGGCACGTGTCCATCAACTATATCATGAACATCAAGCAGAAAAGCCAGATGAGCTAAGTGAAAGAAACATCCAATCTCTGAAAGGTCGTTGGAAACGACTGAATGAAAACGCAAACAAATGGGTGGCTGCTTACCAGGAAGCATGTTCTCGGAGAAGGAGCGGAATGAACAAGAATGATGTTGAAAAGGAAGCTCAAACAATTTACGAAGCAGGCGGTAGCAAGTTTATGGACTTGACCGTGTTCAATGAAGTTATGTGTAAACATCCAAAGTGGGCGTTAACATCATACCATGATAGAACACATTTTCGTCCTGAAAATGAAAAATGTGATGATGAAGAAAGCCGTGGAAGCTCCAAAAGATCAAAGACTTCTGAAGATGTGGAGCATTCGATGCCTTCCAGTGCAGAAACTCCATCTACTGGAAATTCTAACATTTCCCGTCCTATTGGCAGAGATAAGGCAAAGAAGAAAGGAAAAGGTAAAATTTCCCAATCTGATTTTGCTAATGAATTTACTGTAGAACTTCGTGCATTGAGACTCTCTAGGGACAATGAAGCGGAGTTAATGAAGAATGTGTCTAATGCTAAAATAGAATTGGAGCGTGAAAAGATACATGCCGGGAATATAAAAATGCATCAACGAACGCTTAATACATTGTTGGCAAAATCTCATTTATCTGCAGACGAAGAGGAGCTCAAGCGCCGACCAATGGAAATTGTATTTGGCTCATGAATCCATTTTAGCTCCTTCTATCATTTAGATTACGTAATTTCGTTTATGTAATTTCTACTTTCAAATTATTGTAGTAACTGTTGTTGTATTATTGTAGTAACTGTTATCCATTTTGTCCTTGAATCAATTGTCATTTTTACTTTATTGTATCAATTGCCATGTCACTTTTAAATTAGCAGCAAGTGTCGTTGAATTATTTTATGTGTGTGTGTTTTGTAATATTTATGAGGGATGGAGAAAACTGTCAAGTGAGCTGTAATGTATTGTTGTAGCAGGGCTAGTACCAGAAACTTGGCAGAGGGCTATCAATAGGATGTGATTGATCATGCAATAAATGCACTATTTATCTCTACATTTAATCACGCAATAAATGCACTATTTATCTCCCTCCCTCCCTGCCTCAGTCTAGAGGGCTATCGATAGGATGTGATTGAACATTACAAAAGCAAGAGCCTGCTGTTTCTTTTCACTGCACATTTTCCTTTTGAAAAGACGAAACTTTATTTTATCAATTGTCATTTTCACTTTCAAATTGTTGCAGCAATTGTCGTTGAATTATTGTAGCAATTGTTACTTCACTCTTCACTTTCACATTAAATTTATGTGTATATATATATATATATATATATATATGATCTACATCACAATATGAACATTAAGTAATATTTTAGCTCTTTTCTCTTTCTTTTCTGAAAGTATTTGCCCAATATTTTACCCTTTCCTACACAACATGTCTCTTAATGAAAACTCCTCAACAGATTAAGATTCAAGCTCTAATTCTTTCCACATCACCGAATTTGATGATTGGGAAGAACGAGTTACACACGAAAATCGTGAAATTGATAGGATGATTGAGGAAATGATCATAAGCAATCCAAATATGATTGTAGGCAATCCTGGACCTACAACCAGAAGGAGGTATTGCAATAGGGAATGGGAGATTGGTGAGCAGCGTTTGATGGAAGACTATTTTATGGAGAGGCCGACTTACACTCCAGAGATGTTTCGACGTAGATTTCGCATGCGGAAATATGTATTCCTTCGTATAGTGGATACCATCACTGCCAATGATCAATTTTTTCAACAAAGGCGTGATGCCACAGGCAGAAAAGGTCTTTCAGCCCTACAAAAATGTACTGGAGCTATGAGGGTACTTGCATATGGCGTATCATCTGATGTTGTTGATGAATACTTACGAATGAGTGAAACAGCGACAAGAAATTCTCTTTTACATTTCATCGAAGGAATTATTTCCTACTTCGGTGAAACTTATTTGAGAAGGCCTAACGAAGAAGATCTGGCAAGATTACTCCATGTTGGGGAACATCGTGGTTTTCTAGGCATGATTGGTAGTATTGACTGCATGCATTGGGGATGGAAAAATGGCCCTACTGCTTTGGCTGGGCAATATACAGGGAGAAGTGGAAGTCCAACAATTATTTTGGAAGCTGTTGCATCATATGATTTATGGATATGACATGCATTCTTTGGTACACCAGGTTCGTGCAATGATATCAATGTACTACACAAATCTCCTGTTTTTAATGATGTGTTAGAAGGTCGATCGCCAAAAGTGAATTATGTAGTGAATGGTCGTCAATATGATAGAGCATACTATCTCACTGATGGCATATATCCTTCGTGGGCTGCATTTGTCAAGTCAATTGTTGCTCCGCAGACCGAAAAACACAAATTATTTGCTCAACACCAAGAGGCTACAAGGAAGGATGTTGAGCGAGCGTTTGGAGTTCTACAAGCTCGTTTTGCATTTCTTCGACGTCCGTGTTTTCTTTGGGACAAGGAAACGATGGGGAAAGTAATGATGGCTTGTATCATTATGCACAATATGATAGTGGAGGATAAACGAGAAACATACCAAAACTACTATGATCCCACAGAATTTCTTGTGGATATATCCACAATATTACAATCAGACGATGTTGAACTCAACTACTCTACACAACGCATTTCAAGTCTGTCCCAGTATATAATTAATAGGGATCAACTTCGTAATAGACAAGCTCATCGTGCTCTTCAAAATGACTTGATTGAGCATATATGGCAAAAATTTAGAAATTATAATTAGATATGTAATTTGCACTTCTTTCGTAGTAATAATATGTATTTCATGCATCTATCTATATCTGAGTTTATCTTTTTTAATTTTATATTCCAAATCTTGTAATATCTATTTTGTTATTGAGTGAAAAAAATCAAACTTTAATGTGGACGATAATATTTTAAAATTATAATTGCGAATATTAAAATATAAAATATTTTAATATGTATTTGTGTAGAATTTTAAATTTAATACAAATTATTATAGATAATATTTAATTAAAAATAAAACAAAAAAAAATATTAAGATGAGTTGGGTTGGGTTGAGATGGTGTCATTGATGTGAGTAAAAATAAAATTGGGTTGTGAGTTGTATAGGTGGAGGAGAGAGAAATGAGTATTATATTAAAAAGTTGGGTTGGGTTAGGTTGTGAGGGGTTATTATAGCATAACAAAAACTCAACTTCACAATAGTAAAGAAAGTACCTTCTACATCATCGATAAAATTTGGTACAAATGTTGCATAATACATTAACTAATGGATCGTTTGTGAAGCAAAAAAAAAAAAAAATCAAGTTACATCTAATTTTCCGTTAACACAAACTTTACTTGTGCATTTCCATCTGCATCTTGTCGGGCATGCGTCTAAGTGAAGCATCTTGACTCTCGTATTCAGTCACAAGCTTCTTCCTCCCATGCGCATAAATGAGCATGAATAGTTGGATATCTTGTACTATGCAACTCCACATTGAACACCTAATAATTCATCAACATATCCCATTCCTGAAAAAAATATGTGATAAAAAACAACTTTGATTTATGTGAATTAATAAAAAATATGTATATTTATTTTGTATACAACAACTTTCATTCATGTGAGTTGATAAAGAAAATAAAAAGTTTTGAGAGTTGATATTAAATAAGTAATGTTCAATGGAAATCAGATCTTCTGCCAATGAACGTGATTCTTTCGTTAGAAAATAACCAAAAAAAAAAAATCATCCAAGAAAACATAAAGTTCATATATTCATAAAAACAAATACAGAAAAATATGGCATTTTTTAATGACACGAAATGTTTCTGTTAAAAAAATATGAGTAGTTGAGAACAAAGTATAGACAATTACACTAAAACAACCCATGTATTATGATTACATCCATCATATATACAAACAACATAAAACACAAATATCAACAACAATTGCATTTTTATTTATTTATGGAATGAAAAAACTTTCACCAATATCCACATTAATAATTTGACTTAGCTTCTCCCTACAGAAAACCATAGATTTAAAGAAAAAACTTTGATTTTTGAGAGTTTTTCTCGACGGGTGCTCTGTGCGGCCGACCAATTTACATAGGGCATTCGGACGACAGCAATGGCCAGATGCGCGTATGTCGTCGAGGACCAGCGGCTGGTGGCAGATATGTGTTGGAGTTCACTGTGGGGTGGGGCGCGTGATGGGATGTCCTCGAATGACGGACCGGGTTCATGGACGACAACTTTCAAGCGATTGGGGTCGGTGACTTAGTCACGATGACGATGTGGCAAAGGATCCTTGAATCTGGCGACGCCTATTCGGCGAACGAGTCATGGCTGGCGGTGATTTTCTTGAAGAAAACCAAAGATAAGGGAAAAAAAATGGATGAGAAGGCGAATGAGTGAGAGGGGGAGAGAAAGAAAAAGATGCAATATTAACTTCTGTAGGGAACTGATGTGTGAAACTGTCAGATTAAAAAGCACGTATTTAAGTAAAGATAAAGGTAATAAATATAAGGGAGAGTTCCTCAAAAATCCCTAAAGCTAAATCTGATTTCCTTTTTAGTTCCTCATCAAAATTTCTTCCTTCTAACTCCCCACCCTCATAATCAATTTCCTTCTAACTCCCTACCTTTAAATTAAGTCAAAAACAAAATCAATTATTAAATCATTTCACTAAAATCAACTAGCATATTATTTTATTATTACTTTATCTCCACCAATCCTCACACATAATATTATTTTATTTGAATGTTCTTTCTTCCCCAACACACCATTCTCTCCATCTTCCTCCCATCTCCTCCCGTCTCCCTACCATCTCCCTCCGGCGACTGTTCATTTTTATTTTTTTTTTTTTGCAGGTGGTCTCCGACGCACAAAATCCGGCGAGAAGAAATCCGACAGCAACAAATCCGGCCAAACAAGTGATTCCGACGTCAAATCGGGCAAAAATTTGAAACTTTTTCCGGCAACATTTGTGGTTTTTTCAACCAAAATCTGAAGTAATAAGTATTATATGTATTATACGAGGATCTTGGAGTCAAAAAAATCATGTTTAATTCATATATTTTTGGTTAATTTGTTAAGGATTGAATTTTGAATATTGTTGTTAATATTTACCCTAAACCTTACCTAAATCAATTACATTGATAAAAAAAAAAATTGTTGTTCATGTATACAAAATTGATGCTATTGTTATGTTATGTAATGTGTTTTTCACCCTAAAACAAGAAATAATGTGGGAATGATTATTGTACCACTATTCTTGATTATTGTACCTCTTATTGTTTGTATATAGTACCGCATTAATACTGTTTAGTACCACATTTATTTGGGAATGTGAAGTTTTATTTTTTATTTACCCAATTATTGTTAGATACATGGAAGGGGCACAAAGTGATCTACTAGGGAGTTGTACGTACAAGGATGAATTATTTATGTTCTCTATGCACATTGAATTAACGCTTGACGATGTGTACACTCTCATATCTAAGAGGTGGCCGAACGTTAATTTCGAATCCGTCGTGCTTTGCTATATTGCGCCAAAGGAGAAAAAGAGAGTTAGTTTGTTGGATGATGAGGATGTGAAGAACATGATTCGGTTACATTTTAGTTGGAAAGTGAATATTGTCAAGATGCTTGCCCTTGAAAGAAACGAGAGAACGGACGATGGAGTTCAA